CTACCGCGGCGACTTATACCTGGCTGCCTTTGTCAGTTATTTTATCCCTTTTTTTGTTCTCCCTAGCAACCTCGCTGAGAGTATCAAGCCTCTGGTGTTTCCTTTGGCTGTCAAACTCTGCAGTGGCAGTCAGATCCCTCTGGCCCTCTTCTTTTTAGGGAACTTATACTTCTGCCTTGACCTCATCCATTCGGACATGGAGCAATCCATGGGTTGCTATGATGTATGGAGCTTTGTACATACTCAGTTCCTGACTACTTTTTTCTATGAGAGATTTCCTGCTATGGGCCTCGTCCTTAAAGAACATGAGCCCTTTTTCACCGATGAAGTCCTTGATGCAGAGGGTCGTCCTGTTCTTAATGCAGAGGGTCAACCTGTCATGAGGCAAGTGTGCCAATCCCTCCCTGGCATCTCTCGGTGGACTGGTCTTGGCACCAACAGACCCTTTACGAATTACGTTGACCACATGGAGAAGTGTGTGTTCCGCTCTTTCACTCAGTTTCTTCCAGGCATTTTTGTGGTTCCATTTTATTTTGCTGAGGCTCATCATGTTGACTTCTCCCTCAACAGTGTTCAAGCTAACTCCCTTCTTATTGCTACTATGATACACCCCAGCTTTCTACCCGTGTGGAATGAGGAGGGCATGTCCAACATCGTCTATTGACTGGACAGGGTCCTTTAGCAGTTTGGCATGGATCGTGGTGTCCTACATGCCCTTCCACCTCAAACTGATTTCCACCAAAGCTTTTAGCGGTTTGCCCGTGATTATATCGCTCTACTTATGGAGGGCTTAGGCTTCATGGAGCTTCCCTGACTTGGGAGAGAGGGCACCTTTACTCCCAGTAACAGGTTGTTCTGGCATTGCAACCTCAATTCTTTCTTCAACTTTTGCAACAGTGCTCCCGTTGTCCTTGCGATGGAACCCATTCGGTAGCTTGACTTATCCCTTCTTCTCCCCTCTGGTCGAGGGAAATAGACCAATATATCCTACCATTTCAAGCTTCTATCCCTACCTGTCGTGAAAGAGCCTCACTCGTTTGGGGCAATGTCTGTTCAACCTTTGGAAATTGCTTCCCCTCAAGTTGGCACAACAGTATGCATGACCCGCTCCAAACTGAGGGCAACCCAAGAGGCAGGGACATCAGTTGCTGAGGCACAAGTAGGAAGAGACTCCGAAAGGTATCCATACTTAGAAAATATTTTGCATTACTTCCTTGGGCTTCTTATATTTACTTTAGTAATCACATAATCTTTTTCCTTTTCAGGGTCCGTCGACCATATCACCTTCGGGTCCCGGAGGTTCTTTTACTACCATTGGAATTACCTTAGATTCAGACAATGACGACGACCTTTCCATTGCTACAAGGGTCACAAGATTCAAGACCCATAGGACGGTACTTCCACATGTCGAAGAAGAACCAAGTGTTAGAGCTGCACCAACTACTGAGGTTGAGCCAATTGTCGAGGTTGAGCCAGTTGTAGAGGCTGCAGAAAATGAACAAGTTCCCCCTACTGTGAAAGTTGTTATGGGTGGTCTAGTTGCTACTGGTGCAGAGCCTCTAAACCCCGCTGATTCTGTGCACTCCGACCATTCCTCTGTCGGCAAAGATGATTTTGTCCTTGAGACCCCAAGGGAAGATCGTGGCGGGAAAGAGCTGCTGGAAGTTGCACCACCTCTCTTTAGAGCTTTGAAACATTATCTGGTGGTTCCTTCTAGTCCACTGAGTCTCCATTGGTTCAACAGACCCCATTTCCAAACGTCCAAGTGGCTGAGGGAATGTAAGTGTAGTGACTGCTTCCATCGTTCCTGCTGTGGCCCCTCTAAATTTGGACAGACTTGTAGAGGTAGCTGTCACTTTAGCCACCCACACTGTTAATGCTATCACTGGGACCTCTGACCCAGTTGCTTCAGCAACCTCTGAACAGCTGGTAGACTTGTACCACATTCACTTTCAGGAAGTGGCAGCTGACATTGGGATATCCCAAGATTTTTATATTGGGATAGATACCAGTGTTGTACCACATCTGAACGTTGGAGACTACCAGATAAATGACCTCTTTTCAAAGCGACATCATGGTGCAGACAACTTTGGCCTTTCTTGCGAGGCTAGTTCACTTGGTTTCTAACCGGCATCTACCCATTCCAATGCTGCTGGGCAATCATCTTTAGGGGAAGTGCATCGCCCTCAGACCTTTGGTCACTCTGCCAGTCTCCCTCTAGTGATTGAAGCCGGCGACGGTGTGAGAGAGTCCCTTCAATCGTCAGGAAAAGTTTCTTTTCTAAGTTATTAGATCTCCTCCAAAGCTGCTCCCACTCTTGCTTATATCCAGGCACTGCATCCGGGCACCTTTACTGCTTTTAATGTTCTTGAATCTATGGTGTAGACATTGCTGCTAGAGTCACTTGCCAGCTTCATTCGTGACCTTGCTACCAAGAAGATTTTGACAGTCCCCAGCAAGTTCATGGAAAGTGTCGAGGCCAACCTGAGTGGCTTTGAGAGGAACGGTTGGACCTATCGTGGATGAGGGATAGGCTTTAGGCAGTCGATGGTTTCCTTGAGCATCCAAACATTGTGGTGATGATTGCGTCCTTGGAGAAGACTATCAAGGAGTGTGAGGGTGCCTTAGAGCAGCATCGACAGAACTTGGCTCGGTTCAAAGAGAAAGACTCTGCGTTGGTTGCCTAGCTGCCTCGAGATGTGACCCTGATGGACTCCCTTTTGAAGGGTTTGATTTGATGTGCCTGTGACTTTGTTATGATTTCCACAATTTTCTTTTCTTTATTTTGTTGTTTCATTGCGCCTGCGGCGCCTTTTCTTTTCTTCTTCTCTGTCACAACTTCTTTTCAAACATTGTAATCATGTTCTAGAAGTTTGACTTTAATGAAAAGTGTGGATGGTTTGTAGTACTTTGAATTTCATTTCTTCGCCCTCCTTACATTGCTTTTATACAGTTTCTAAAGATAAGCAAAACTCTTGTAGCGAACAAAACATCATCATGACTACGCTTTTACGAGGATAAAATTTCACTAAGCATAGAAAACTTTCCTCACACTAAGTGTATATGAGAGTAACAAGTTTACTAAATGTATGACACTTTCTTTACACTTTGCTTTGGAAGTATTAAAAAAGAAACATACAACTCTTTTTCCTGGACAAAAGAAATTAAGGAAAATATTCTTTGACATACTTGGCATTGATAGGGCCAGTTCTGAACCCATCATCTATTCTTGTCAACTTGTAGTACCCACTGCTGCTTGCCTAAACAACTTTGTAGGGGTCTTCCCATCTGGGTGAGAACTTGGGGATTGGTTGCCCTCGCATGATTGTGTCCACTATTTTCCATACCAAGTCCCCTTTATTGAACTTCCTATGTTGAACAGATTGATTATAGGCACGAGCGATGGATTGATGATACTTTTTCATTGCCCGCGAGACCCGATCTCTTCTTTCTCTAGCTGCCTCTATGTCATTCTTCCTACTGTTTGGAACTAAGTGCGCTGACATAGCCATTCTTGTTGAGGGTACTGCCAACTCAACTGGTAACACAGCTTCGGACCCATATACTAGGGAAAATAAGGTTGCCTGAGTTGGCTTCCTCTTTGACGTTCTATACGCCCAGAGTGCTACGGGAAGTTGATCAAACCATGTGCCCCCTGCTTCATCCATCGTTTAACTCAGTATTCAGATAAGGGTTTTGTTGGTCGCCTCAGCTTGTCCGTCCCGTTGGGGGTAGTATGGACTAGACTTGTGGTGCTTGTTCTGGTAAGCGTCCAGCAGTCTTCCTACATGGCGATTTACAAAGAGAGTTCCATTGTCAGACAGTATTACTTTGGGTATGCCAAATCTACAAATTATGTTTTCTTTAATGAAGTTGGCTACTCCTGCCCCGTCTGCTTTCCTCATCGGTATAGCCTCTACCCACTTGGTGCTAACTTCAGTCACTAGAAGTATCCATCTGTGGCCTTTGGATTGCTGTGCTATAGGACCTACCAGGTCAAATGCCCAAGTATGAAATGGGTAAAGGGTCTTGATGTTGTGCGACTTAACCGCTGGTGCATGTATCCAGTTCCCAAGCTTCTGGCAGGATTGGCATCTCCTCACAAAGTTTTTAGCATCTTCTTCCATTATCGGCCAGTAGTAGCCAAGGTGAATAAGGTGTCCATATAATCACTGCCCTTCTTGATACTCTGTCTTGTGGGCTTCCCTCAGCACCTCATTTGCCTTGTCTTTTGATAAACACGCCAAAGATTCCCCTTCAAAGCTTTTTCGGTATAGCTTGCCTTGGTCAAGGAAGAACCGGAGGGCTCGCCTCTTAACTCTGATTGCATCAGCTTTATTCTCAGGCAGTGTGCCATTTCCAAGGTAGTCAATGTATAGCTGCCTCCACTCTTCACTGCTTAAGAAATGGGCTTCCTCTTCCTTAGGATGGGACTGACACTCTGCACATTACCTCTGCAATTCAGTACTTTTCTTCTCCATCTCTAGCTAGTAATACCCTTGCCTCTATATCCGTCAGTATAGACTGATATCTCCATCTCCACAGGACTTAGCATGGATCTGCGTAAGTCTGTAAGTTGCTTCTTGTCTACCGACGCACCTTGCCAGTAGGTTGTTGGCACCGCAAAAATACAACTCTCCTCTGAGGAGCAGAAATGATGCAAGTTCTGCTGGTTTGATTATTCCCTGGCCTATTTTCAACTGCTGGATTATATTTGCTTTCCATCTCTCAACATCTTGCTCTGTATGTTTTTCAGCTAGCACTGCTGGTGTTATTCTTTTCTCGATGACGATGGCTATACTATCATCTGGTATATCCACCTTTGCCCCCAGTGTAGCCAAGGCATCAGGGAAACAGTTGTGTGTTTAAGGAGTATGCTGGATTTAGACATCATCAAACTGAGTGAACAACCTTTGAACTACGGTACGATATGGTGCCAACAGAGGCTCTTTCAAAGCAAAATCACTCATTGTTTGCTTGACAACTAACTTGGAGTCACCCTAAATTTTTAACTTGTGGAGGCCCTTCTTTTGGGCAGCTATTAGACCCAGTATCAACGCCTCATATTTAGCCTTGTTGTTCGAACATTCAAAGTCAAGCTTATATGATAGATGAAACTTCTCTCCTGCTTGACCGGTTAGTGTTATGCCAGCTCCACCTTTCTCAGCTCCGGAAGCTCCATCAAATTTTAAGTCCCAATAAGACATGATTGCAACTACTGAGACATGGACCTCACGTGGTAGGGGTACCTCTGCAGGTTCATGTTTACCACATAGGAATTGGGCCAGTTTGTCTGCAAGTGCTTGGCTCTTAATTACCTTCAGAGTAACATAAGTGATGTCATATTCTACTATAGCCAAGAGCCATCTTGCCATTCTTCCAGTCCGAGTAGGCTTGCTCAGCAAGTAGCGGACTGGATCACTCCGGGTCACAACCTGGATCGGATGTGCCAAAAAATAGGGGCACAACTTCTATGCTGTGAAGATTAAGGCTAAACAATGCCTCTCAATTGGTGTATATTGCGACTTGGCACCATTGACTTTTCAACTGATGTAATAGATTGGCTTCTTAATGCCATCTATGTCCTGGACAAGTAAAGCTTCAATAGATCGAGGTGTAGAGGTCAGGTACAGTAATAGAGGCTTTCCGGGTTGTGGGGCAATCATTGTAAGTGGAGAGGTAAGTGCTTTCTTCACCATATCAAACGCTTGTTGGTGTTCTTGCAACCATTCAAACTAGTGATTCCTTTTTGGCAATGTCCCAAAGGAAAAGGTTATCTCAGCAAGGGCTGGAATGAACCACTTAAGGTATGACACTTTGCTTAGGAATTTCTTCAAAGCCTTTTGAGAGTGTGGTGGTGGCATGTCCATATTGACTTAATCTTATCCCCATCTGCTTCAATCCCCCACTAGTGTACAAGAAAGCCAAGGAACTTGCCGGCGGTAACTCCGAAGGCACACTTGAGAGGGTTCATCTTTAGGCAGAATTTGCGGCAATGCTAAAAAACTTTTTCCAAGTTCTAGAGCTGTCGGTTTGCCTCAGTAGACTTGACCACCAGATCATCCACATATACTTCCACTTCATGATGCAACATGTCATGGAACACTGCAGTCATAGCCCGTTGGTAGGTTGCCCCCGCGTTTTTCAAATTGAAAGGCATCACCCTATAGAAAAAATTTCCCAAGGGCTTTCTGAAAGCCGTATTTTCTGCATCTTCTAGTGCCATTTTGATCTGGTTATAACCACTGATCCCATCTATGAAGGAGGACATCTGATGGCCCGTTGTAGAATCAACAAGTGTGTCAACATGGGGCAATGGAAACTTATCTTTCGGGCATGCCTTATTCAGGTTGCAAAAGTCTACGCAGACCTTGATCTGACCGTTCTTCATCTGTATAGGCACAATATTTGCTAGCCAAGTTGGGTACTTTATAGGCTCAATGAACTTGGCCCTCTGTAACTTTTCTACCTCTACCTTAATCTTTGCTTCAAGATCATGGTGATACTTTCGAGCGTGCTACTTGATTGGTTTAGAGTTGGGAAAAGTGTCCAGATGATGAGTGATAAGGGATGGGTCAAGACCAAGCATCTCATCGAATGACCAAGCAAAGATGTCACTGTATCGCTTTAGTAGTGTTATCAGTTCTGCCTTAGCTGCTGGAGCCATTGTATCGCTAATAAACACAGGCTTGCTCTGTCCTGGTAAGTCACTGACGTTGACCTTAGCAAGTACCTTCTGCTGCGGTTTGGGTCTATCTTACATGCATTCAGGGACGGGCTCAGGCGTCTCCACCAACCTTTCATGTGACCCATCACCGCTGCATTTATTCGTCTCAGGGCCATCCTTCCAAGGTATGGAGTCTAGCCTCCAAGACTGTCATAGGTAGTAAACTGTCTTACCGCCCTCGCGCACCTTAACAATCTTAGGCAGAGGATTTGTGGACTTGCTGCTCCTTTTCTGCCCACTACTGTCTAGAGCAGCCTCTGTATCTCGAATGTCTTCCTACTTCGTCAATTTTACCCCTGCAATTTTACCAGTTGTAGACAAGCCCGCGGGGGGGCCTCGCTACAGCTCGGACTCGACTTTCGTCAGTCACGGTTCTAAATCTGAACCAAAGAGTCCAAATCCGGCAAATCGTTTTGAGAAAACTGATTTTTGAAAGAAGTGCCAAACATGGACTGCTTTGCCAGATACAGAGTCGCCACCTAAATATTTTATTTTGGGAAATTTAGGAAACCCTGACTCGGTGCCAAAAGGCCACGTGTCCGTCATCACCAAAGTTGCCTCGGCTCGGGAACTTGGGTACGATTGGGGAAGGTCACTGTGTATTACTCATCAAATTGAATAGGAGTAAGAGAGAAGTGTACTGGACTTGTTGAACCTAGGTATATACACATAGAGTGAAAGGGAAAGACCTTGAGAAATAGAGCTCAAGAAGGAGAAAGAAGATAGAAGAAGAGGAAGTGAAAAGGCAACTTGAATTGTTCATAAATTTAACAACTTAAGGTGAGAATTTGCCTTTAATTTCATGAAATTGAGATGTCATGGTTATCATCCTTTGGACATTGAGTTGAAATATAAAGGATATCATGCATACTTATGAGTTTAGTAGTGTAAATTGATGATAGGAACTCATATGGACAAATAAAGAAGGAATTGTAGAAATTTAGCTCAAGACCAACATGCATGGCATGATTCATGATATTTTGTTTATAGACATATTTTCTTGCATGATTTTCATGAGTTCTACAAGTTTCAAAGAACTATCCTCATTGATGTTGGAATTGGAAGTTTAAAATGCTTTTATAATGTCTCGGAGTCTTTGAGCAACTAAATTGGAAGAATTAGCGATTTGTGTATGGAAGCTTGAAGAAGAATTTTTCTAACCCCAACATGTGATATAGCTTGCTTGTTATAAAGGCCAAAAAGGGGGTGCAAAGGTGGGGGAAAAGGAGAGCAACTTTCCCCCACAAAATATCCCCCGGATAAAGATCTTTTCTGAGGGATAAAGCCCCACAGCTGTAAAGGGAACAGTGCAAGGAGCTCAGCCGGCCTGGTACTTTTGCTGCAGGTGGCCGGCCGGCCACACCCCCTAGCCGGCCGGCTAGGGGTCAAAAGGTTCAATCAGATTTTCTGGCCGGCCACCAATTGATGGTGTCCTCCTATGTGTGTACAACACAACCCTGTGGTTAAAAGTTCAAGAATGTGGGTCTAAGGGGTTCAACATTAGCTCGGAAATAGGGGTTCAAAAGGGTCAGGTGGGATTACTGGCCGACCACCAACTTTTAGGGTCCTCTCATGTGTGTACATCACAAATATGTGGTTCAAAGTTCAAGAATGTGGGTCCAAGGGGTTCAACATTAGCCCGGAAGGAGGGGGTCAAAAGGGCCAAGTAACATTACTGGCCGGCCACCACTTTTTAGGGTCCTCCCATGTGTGTACATCACAAATATGTGGTTCAAAGTTCAAGAAAATGGGCCCAAGGTGTTCAACATTAGCCCGGAAGTGCGAAAAACGGGCGCCGGAGGGCGTAACTTTTAGGGTCCTCCCATGTGTGTACATCACAAATATGTGGTTTGGGTTTGAAGAAAATGGCTCCAAGGTGTTCAACATTGGCCCGGAAGTGCGAAAAACGGGTGTCGGAGGGCGCCGGAGGAGTAAAGAACTGGTTGTTGAAACAATTGCTGGCCTCCCACCCTTCCATGACCTTCCTAGTGATGAAACAGAGGTACCTGCCAAAAACGAATGAAAACCGATGCAAAACGAATGTTCGGGGGCCAAAACATGCAGTTCGGGGTCCCGAAAATGGGCTGCCAAGCACCGAAAGTGGCGTTCGGTCACGAAGTGGGTTTCTCAGGCCCCAGTGTCCCTTGAAAGGGAGAAAATAAGATGTATGCCAAAAATCAGAGAAAACGGAGATGGGTAGGCGGTCCCGAACCGAGGCACACGGCCAACGATCCCGAAAAACTGGAAACCGGACTCCGAAATGGGAAAAATGGCCTACGGCCACAAAATGTAGCCCACGGCCACTGAGAGATGGTCTACGGGACCTCTCTCTCGAAAAGAAACAGAGAAAACCGAGCCTGGTTCGCAAACCGAGGCAAGGCACAGAAGAGGGTTCGGAAATCCGGAGGCAGGGCTCACGGCCGCGACTCTGAAACTTCTGAACGAGCGCGATATGCAACATCACCGAGCGCTCAACTGGTGATGTCTAAGTCTTAAGGGCGGTCAAAAATGGGGTGTCTACACTAGTCCTTGGAGTTTTATCCGTTGACAACTTAGTAAAGAAAACTACATCTAAATAGTGTGCATCCTCCACTCCGAATGGCCTTTCAGACGCATTTATGGTTACTGTGCACTTTCCAACTTTGCCTTTATGCATTGGTGATAACTCGATAGGATAGCTCCATATCGGTGCATCCAAGCTCTGCCAAGTATCATGTGGTAATTTGTGTCCGCTTCACTCACATGGAAGTTAGTGGTAGAGCGGATCTTGCCAACTGCTAAATCCACTACAATATGGCCCTTAGTAACCTTCTTCTCACCATCAAATCCTGTTATAGTGATGGGTTGGTGAACCATCCTGGACTCTAGGATACCAGCCTCTGCAAAGGTGTCAGTAGTGATGATGTTTATGGACGCCCCACCATCTAAGAAAGCACGCTTGAACTCTACATCATTGATGTAAGCTGTGACAAAAAGAGGACGGTGTAGCTCAACTTTTTGCGCCCCCTTACGGAAGTTTGGAACATAAGCCCAAGAGTTTGGACTCCCGTGGTTCTGAATCTAATTTCACAAGTGCAATGTGAAATTGATAAACACCAAAGAGTTCAAATCCGACAAATCTTTTTGAAAATCGATTTTGAATCAAATTGTCAAAAATGGACTGCTTTGCCAGATATAGAGTCGCCACCTAAATATTTTATTTTGAAAAATTTAGGAAACTCATGATTCGTGCCAAAGCCCATGTTTCCGTCATCACCAAGATTGTCTCAGCTCGGGAACTTGGGTATGAAAGGGGAAGGTCATGAATACTTTTGAGCGCTCCCGCTCGCCTGATCAAAGATTAGCCTCAACTAATCATGATATGAATCTTATGTACATTATATGCTCTTGTTCTGGTTATTAGGCTAGCATTACTATGTGATACGCACACACGCAAGTATAGACTAATTTGCAAGAATTGGAACACTTCGAGTCATGTTTGTTTTGAAAATTGTTTCGAAATATGTACCACTTGAAAAAGTGATCGCATATGAACATTACTCAAATTATTCCAATTCAAGCAATATGCCTTCATCCACAGGCATACAAGAAGTTATAGCAATTAAGCATTTAGCATCATGGCAAGCATGTTAGACATGGCAACAAGCACACTCATGCAATTATGCTAAAGCGAGTAAAGGTTCACCTAGTACTCTAAGCCAAAGTAAACAAATAAGTTTGAAAAAAATGCATGATTCCTAACTATGCAATATGCCTAATGCAACACATACGGTATGCAATCTAAATAGGCTCGGCTACTTAACATGGCATATGAATCAATTAAATAGCATGCGGTCTAAGCACGTATTCAAATAAGTATTAAACTAATAATGCAGTTTGAATGATGGACCGAGCCTTGATGCACGCAATACAAATGGATGCAAACATGAAGTATGCTAATCAAAACATGATGTCCCTAAACTAACCATCGTAAGCTAGTAAATAAAAGGGAGAAAGACGTGGGGTTGGAAGACATACACATTATTACATTACGCTCTCACGAAGGAGAGTCCGAATGAATAAACTAAGTCCGAATGAATAAACTAAGCTAACTAGCTAGCTAATTAAGGCTAAGTTAATGAAGCTAACTATTACAAACTGAAATGAATAACTAACTAAACTACTTAACTAATTATTACAACACTTGAATTAACTAACTAGTTAATTAACTAATTAAATAATTACAGCTCAAGTGCAATTAAAATAAGTAACTAATTACTACGCCTCGGGAAACGAGGGATGTTCATGCGCATGCTCGGTTTCCACTCGAATAGACCACCGTTTTGCTTTTGAATGCCTCTGTTTGCACAGTTGAACATGAACACCGTTGCCTACTTCCAGAATAGCTCTGCTTGGCCTCAAAAACACATTGCTCAATTCTTCATCAGTGGTCGGATGGCCAGTGACGAAGGTTGTCGGCCACCAGTGATGGCTGGCCACTTTCCGGCCATGAAAATGGCCTGCCGGCCAATAATTGCACAGGTTCATCTTACTGCAACAGTGGACAAACAGAGTAGATACAGGGTATTTTAAGGGTTTGTTTGCATAACTCACCCCTTATTTTTATGAGCAAATCAAAGGAGTAGCAAGTTTGGTTTACAAACCATCAATGGATGCAATTTCAT